GGTGTCGATGCCGATGTAGAAGGTGCTGACTGGGGTACTCGCGACACAGATGCGCTGCTGCATGGAGCTCCTGCTTTGCGAGAAGACTGCAATAACTATGTCTGACAATGAAGAAAAAACTGGACCCAATGAAAGTCAAGCCAGGAGTGGGCACATAAAAAGTAAAAAAGTGAATATAAATTTAAATATGCTAAACCTACCAAAGGTGAATCGAGACGAGATGAAGCGGGAGTTGTGGCCGAGCTGTGAGAGGCACTCCCTGGCTGAGGAATTGTAATTGACAGGGCCGGACGCTGACCGCTCGCATTCCGACTGAAACCACTCGACGATAATCCGCTAGCGGATGAAAGCCCTGAGAACGTTGTCACTCCCAACGGATCCGGCGCGGAAGCCTGAAACAACCAGTGAGGCAACTATTGAAAAAACAGCGTAGAAACACGCATGCTTGTCATCTGAATGTTTACCTTGACAGCTAATAATCGCTCTTGAGTGATATTCAGCGTGAAGTCATCAAAGGATGACTTTTTCTTCTGGTTGATGCTTCGTAGCCTCTCTTCGAATGAGTCAGTGCGAGGAGTTGATCCTAGCGCTCCAGCTTCTCTGCGCTTAGATGACGTTGGGGTCTGATCCGTTGCCAATGACACCGAAGGACGACGATGGTGATGATCGTCCAGCTCCGCCACTCCGCGATGCGCCTCTTCCAGGGAAGCGTTCACATCTGTTAGTCGTGACCCAATCTCAGCCAGGCGCTGAAGTTGAGTTTCGAATAAAAACTAAGATCAAGTGAATGTCTAGCTTTGCTTTGATTATAGTGTGAGTACCAAAGCAAAATTTATTCTTCATCGAAGAAGAGCGAACCTGTGCAAAATATGACGCAAACTCTGGGAAAAAACACACCCCGCTCCAGCCATCAGCTAGAATTGGCACATCATCTGGCTCACAGAGCAGATCCAAAGCTGACGGTGGTGGTGGAGGAAGAGGAGCTGCATCTGGTGATAATTGTGCGTCGCTGTCCAACCCGCCACTTGCACCGCTGCTACTGGAACTTCTTGAGACAGTAGCATGTGTCGGCACGATTGAATGCCCGCAAAATGGGACATGTGATTGTGGAGGCCGCTCTGAACACAACAAGATTGCAAAAACTCCAACTAAACTTCCGCAATAAGACTGCACTGCCAAGGCTAACCTTCCGATAAAGAAGTAGTAAGTGGACGACTTGTTGAGGCGGTTGCAGATCCACCGCTCGCCCTGCGCTGTGATGTCGCATGAATTCCATCTACACTAGTTGCACTTCCAGAGGATCGTTTTCGCCACTCCCCTGAGACAGGGTGAGGTGGACGATCGGCGCTGGCAAACGGAGGCAGAGGCAGATGCGAGGACATTGTTCGAGACAGCGGGTCATTGCGGGTCGATCGCGGATCGGGCAACGTCAAGCTGGTCTAAAAGAAAACGCATCTATTACGGAACCGAGACAAGAATAGACAAACTGACATTATCAGGAAAGACGCAAGGATTCCGTAGCAGCTCGCTCCATGGCCATTTTCCAACCCGAGTTTTATGCGGCGGTTGCGAAGATGGATGAGGGCGCGTATGCTGTGATGACTGACCATCGACTGAGTGCCTTTTTTGTGATGGATTCGGAGTGCCACAGCTTGATGGAGTGGCATTCGATGGCCCCGGTCCGGATGAAAGGGATTGGTGACGATGCTGAGCGGTGATAGACTGCAAGTTATGATAGAGCTGCTAATACAAATATATTCGAAGATGTATAAATATATATGTACGTCAAGTACAAAACGTATACAAGTACGCATTTATAATTAAGTACGACATATCCTGCCGCAAAAAAAAGTAAGCAAGAAAAAGTTGACCAAACAGGAGAGTTTTTTATTACCTGAGCATCGTGACCGTAATGATGTGGTTGATGGCGACTGGACTGCGAGTCATGACGGGAAGTAGAAGGCGGAGATACAAAGTGGGGATTGGAATGTGAATGGGAATTTGATCTAGAAGGCGGTGATCTTCGTCGAACTGGCGGATCAGCTGGCGGTGGAGAAGGCATATGTGGTAGCGACTCCATTGGTGGAGGTGCCGGTGGTGGATCAAGTGGTGGTCGCGAAACTTCATCGTAAAACCTATAACTTAAGCAAAATCATCAGAGATTAGCTGAATGATCACCACCAAAGAAGCTTACCCACTATCACCACTTTTTCGGTCGTCTGGAGTTGGTGTCGCCGTTCCTGTTGGAGCTGTGACTCCTGTTGACGGCGCTGTCTGTGGGAGACGTTCTTCGGACACAGACGGCGAATGTCGCAGTCCTTTTCTGTCGTTCCATTTCGGCGTGTCTAACGGACTTCGTCGAGAAGAAGATGTGTTTCGCGGTTTACCTGCAGATATGCAACTTTCAGATTAGAAAAACTTAACCAATTCGATACCATTACCGTTGAGGCTTCGATCATTACGCATATCCCGTCTTTCATCGCGTCGCCGATCTTTATTTCGTTGACTGTACGACAGAGGACTGGATGTTCGACTATCGTTCGATCCGGAACGAAGTCTAGTCAATGACGAGTCCTCACTCGATGATGCGGATGAATCCGAAGAAGCGCTGAACAATCTAATATGACTGAACTTGCTCCCACACAGTTCCATTGAGATTTCAGAAAGTGGGAATACAACACACACCTTGGTTTCCTCTCTTTTCTCTCTTTCTTGCGTGAGGATCCCTTCTCGTAATCGTACTTAGATTTACGATGCCTGCATCGTTCTTGTGATCGCTCTCGAGATCGCTCACGTCGCCGTGAATGGGGAGACGAACGTCGTTGCTCACGATGATGTTCGTATCGGTAACTGAATAGAAAAAGGCGGTGGTTAAAAGAAACACTCAAAAGCGAAGAGCGATAATATATAAAAACGATACAGAAAAAAAAGAGAGAGTCATTCACTAATGAATGGCAACAAACTTATTTGATGATGTTCAAAGAATATGTCCCTCACCTGGGCATATCACTGGGTGGATCCGGTGGTGGTGCCAACAATGCAGTCAATGAATCTTCTATCGCTACCGGAACGGCTCCGGTTGCAAAAGAACTAACACTGTTAGTAGTAACCCCAGTCAGGGGCGTCGGTGTCTTAACAGGAATTCCACCGTGTTTACGGTCGATGAAGTGGTCGTGCAAACGATCGGAGCAAAAATCCGCCGGTACACGTGCTTCACCACTCTCGACTTTGAAGACACTGAAATACTAAGTTGTATATCAAGATTTTGACTACAAAAAGCAGCCGATGGCCCTCAACCATAAAAAAAAAGCACAAACGAATTATAGCGAACTTAAATGGAGAACATAAT